ACCATCATAATATTTGTATTTCATGTGGTACAAAGGTAGCCTACCATCATAATACTTCTAATTCATGTGGGGAAAAAAGTCGCCTACCATCATAGTATTTGTATTTCATGTGGTAAAAAGGTCGCTTACCATCATAATATTTCTATTTCATGCGGTAAAAAGGTCGCCTACCATCATAATATTTCTATTTCATGTGGTACAAAGGTCGCCTACCATCATAGTATTTGTATTTCATGTGGTAAAAAGGTCGCTTACCATCATAATATTTCTATTTCATGCGGTAAAAAGGTCGCCTACCATCATAATATTTCTAATTCATGTTTTTACTTCACTCATTCTTACGTTACCATAATTGCTTAGATTGTCATTAACCTAGCAAGAACGTGGGGACGTCATCCGGTTGTGTGGGGATCCTAGACTGGGTCAGCGGTAAGCTGATATATATAATTTAATTAGAAGCGGCCTGGGCGGAAACCCCTTTGCACCCCTCTCCACCCTAAAGTGATGGTCGTCAAGGTTTGTGGAACTGGTTTTATGTAAGATCTCGCCCTTAGGAAGAGACTGTTGTGTGTTATCTTGTTTAAATACGGCCTGGAAGCACCACTTTCCAAAATACGTTAGGACATCTTGCATGGCATCATACTGTGAACATGAAGATATATCTTTCTAAGCATGATGACTACATACTCTCTCTTACCTTACTAACCATGTTAGACAAACCAGATATTTGAAACTAACAAATTAAGTAATCTAAATCATCAACAAAGATTCTTGCTAGTACAAACCTCCATCCATATCTTGTGCTTCACGTCTCTCAGTAAGATGCAGTAGCCAAGAACAGGTATTGAGCGGTCATCGTTCCACTGGACAAATATTGAACTTGGGCCTGTGACTTTTACTTGCATTGGAAGAATGACAAGTGAGGGACGATCTAAAAGGAATAATCAGAAAACGTTTTATATTTAAATCACGGGCTTAGATACTGTGTTCTAAGGTTATGAAATATCAAAGAAAAAGAATTAGTTTAACGTAATCTTCAGTTGACAAAGAAAGAAATACCTCGAATATGGTCTTCTTCACTTTCTTCATTCTTATCGTCATATTTCCTCTCTTCTGTGGACTCAGGAAGACTAACATTATCTTGTAGCTCAGGTCTTTCATCTTCACCCTGGAGCCTAAAACAGTTGTGGAGGAGATGTAAGAAACCGAACAGAAAGTATATTTCATCAGAATAACATCCCCGTACGAGTTGATCTTTATTTGGTACTGTTTTACTTTAGATGTTTACTATCTTAGATGTAAGAAACCGAACAGAAAGTATATTTCATCAGAATAACATCCCCGTACGAGTTGATCTTTATTTGGTACTGTTTTACTTTAGATGTTTACTATCTTAGATGTAAGAAACCGAACAGAAAGTATGTTTCATCAGAATAACCTCCCCATACCAGTTGGTCTTTATTTAGTACTGTTTTACTTCAGATGTTTACTGTCTTAGATGTGAGAAACCGAACAGAAAGTATATTTCATAATAACATCCCTGTATGAGTTGATCTTTATTTGATACTGTTATCCCCTATGTTCATTTTCTTGACTTTATCAACTGCTTAACTTTCTAAAGTCAAGTCAAGTTTCTGCTTTCAGTAATCTCTATTGTATTAACTTTCTAAGTGTATGTCTTACCTTCTCTACTTCCATCATTAATAATATCTTATGTTTTATAACTTATTTCTGACTTTCTAAATGTTTAGGTCTTACCTTCTGTGACTCCTTCCTAACTTTCTAAATACTTAGGTCTTACCTTCAGTGACTCCTTCTGGATTTTTTAAATGGTTAGGTCTTACCTTCTGTGACTCCTTCCTGACTTTTTAAATGGTTAGATCTTACCTTCAATGACTCCTTCCTGACTTTCTAAATAGTTACGTCTTATCTTCAGTGACTCCTTCCTAACTTTCTAAATAGTTAGGTCTTACCTTCAGTGACTCCTTCTAGACTTTTAAAATGGTTAGTTCTTACCTTCTGTGACGCCTTCCTGATTTTTTAAATGGTTAGATTTTACCTTCTATGACACCTTCCTGACTTTCTAAATAGTTAGGTTACCTTATGTGATTGCTTCCTGACTTTCTAAATACTTAGATCTTACCTTCTGTGACTCTTTCATAACTTTCTAAATAGTTAAGTCTTATCTTCAGTGACTCCTTCTGGACTTTTTAAATGGTTAGGTTTTACCTTCTGTGACTCCTTCCTGACTTTCTAAATAGTTAGGTTACCTTCTGTGACTCCTTGCTGACTTTTTAAATAGTTAGGTTATCTTCTGTGACTCCTTCCTGACTTTTTAAATGGTTAGGTCTTACCTTCTGTGAACACTTCCTGACTTTCTAAATAGTTAAATCTTACCTTCTGTGACTTTTTCCTGACTTTCCAAATAGTTACCTTACCTTCTGTGACTGCTTTCTGACTTCCTAAATAGTTAGATCTTAACTTCTGTGGCTCCTTCCTGACTTTTTAAATGGTTTGGTCTTACCTTCTTTGATTTTTTCCTAAAATTCTAATTGGTTAGTTCTTACCTTTTGTGTCTCCCTGGTGGCACAGCGGTATATCTGCGGACTTATAACGATAGAAGCCGGGTTTCAATACTCGTGGTGGGCAGAGCAGAGATAGCCCATTGTGTAACTTTGTGCTTAAGTTCAAACAAACAAACTTACCTTCTGTGGCTTCTTCCTGAAATTCTAAGTGGTTAGGTTTTACTTTCTTTGACTTTTATGTATCTAAACTGTTCATTTGGTGAAGCGTTAATCGTCATTTCTCGCGTATTGCACAATTATTTTACAGTTTTATAAAAAAAAAAAGCAAACAATTTGTATTTATTAGGAATGTTAGATAAATTTGAGAATTCCTCAGATATGAAAAAAATTCTGACTATCAGCATTATATACATGCAAATGGCTGAAAACAGAAACTTACACAGTGATTACCTGTTTAAAATGTTCTGTTTACTGGGATAACCTTTCAACTCTGACATCAACCAATCAGACTTTACAGTATTCTCGTGAATAGAAGAACGTTCTCCATTACAGACTATTTCTTCCAATTGGTCCTTAGCTTCTCCAGAAGTGACTTGCTCCAATATTACACTGTGTTTATAAGCTACAATAGATAGAGAGGTTTATTTATTTGATGTTTAAAGATTTTTTGCCACGCAACCTTAATATAAATAAATCGGAGAATCGCTTACGATTAAACATTTTTTGTAAGATATGTTTTAGCATGCTACTTCGTAGTGTATCTTGAGTGTTGTGTTTTATTAGACACGTGATATTCTGACGTTTACCGACTTATTTTCCAGTGATTGTGCACCTGAAAATATATGTTAAAGTAAAACTCTCGAATCTCGATAGACTTTGAATGAAAAGAAAGGAACTGGGCACGATTTAAAACACTGTAAAAATAAAACAATGTACAACCAATCAAGGTACACAAATATATGTTTTGGGAACTTTTACAGGCTGAAAAAACGTAGCATTATGCACGAAAAATACACAAAAACATTGCTCTCAGGAGGAAAGTGCAAGTCACACGTTCAACAAATATGGGATGTTCCATCACCTGACCTGATAGGGAGAAATATCAACGTCTGCTTTTTTATAGTATGTTCCCTTTAAAGAAATCCTTTCAACGAGAAAGTGCATATGACACCCAAGATTAGTGACATAAGCCAATGGGTAACTAGGTCTAGAGGAACTTAGTGGCTCACTTGACTAACACTCATGTGCTTAAAATGCATACTAAATGTATACATAAAGTTCGAAAAATCCACATATTAGATAAGGGTTAAGAAACGTATAGTATGATTACAGTTACTGTATACCACAAACAATTCTCTACTAACACGAAAGTAACAGCTTGTTTTCAGTATAAAAAACAACAACAAGGATTTGGAATTTCATTACAAGTTATATGTAAATACGTAACCAAGTTGAAAATATGTAACTTAAAGTAACATTGTAACCAAGTTGTAACTGTGTAGCTAGCAGTAAATACGTAACCAAATTGAAACCATGCAACTAAGACTTGTATCCACTTGGCCACACCTGATTTCTGGATTAAGAACGGCTGACTTTCGTGTGAACATAAAAGCTTCATAAGTTGGTAAACTATTTTAAGAAGTGTATTTACGTTGAATTTCCACTGTTGTTTTGGTTACAGCTTCTCCTCCCTCGTTCACAGCCTCGCATACGTACTCGCCCACATCTTCAGGAGAAGCTTCCTGAATGTTCAGTTCACAGCGTCCATCTTTTTGTACACTCATGAAGACTCTCCTGGATTCAGCTAACTCTGTTCTGTTGTGGTACCAACGAATCCTCGGGAATGGTTGTCCACTCACCTAATCAGGCAAAACTAATAATAAGTTTCATGAAACAGAAAACTAATTTTATTTATCTTAGAATGTAAAGTTGTTTAGTAACCATCATAGGTTTAGATTATATAGTAACCATCATAGGTTTAGATTATATAGTAACCATCTTAGGTTTAAATTATATAGTAACCATCATAGGTTTGAATTATATAGTATCCATCGTAGGTTTGAATTATATAGTATCTATCGTAGGTTTGAATTATATAGTATCCATCGTAGGTTTGGGTTATGTAGTAACAATCATAGGTTTGAATTATATAG